TTAGGGTGGCGAAAAAAAAAAAAAAAAAAAAAAAAAAAAAAAACGATCTGTTGACAATCAAAATATTTGTATGCCGTTTAAGAGTAGAGCAAATAGCATATTTCATTCCCAAAGTGGGTGCTTTGCATATGTCTACACAATGAACACGATCAAAGAAAATAGCGACCTCATGGTTTTTGCTGACATGCTCTGCGCAATCTCACTGGAGGCGAGGAGCAGCTCGACAGCCCGCGTGGCGCAGCCCACCACGGGTGGAGGGAGGGAGTTGGAGAAGAGGTAAGGCCGAGACCGCTGCCTCAGGAGGTCAATGAGGGGCTTTGGTCCCACCGTGTAGCCACCTGACGTGATACCAAACATGATATAATTGGTCATCTTTTCTGCATTTTCAACTCGAGTTCTTGTGTTGAACACTTTCGGCATGCTAGCCACTTCTGAACATCTCGCTACCTTTTTTAGAACCATTTTAATTGTGTGAGTAGAAATAATAGTCATGAACTGCCATTTCTGGCCACAAACACAAGACGTTATGCCACTGCCCCCCCACCCCAAAAAATTGTGACAAATAAAAATGATCGATACTGCTTATGACTGGCATCCAATTAGCGGCAATGAAGGTTACAAATTAATCAAGTTTCACGCATTTGGTAAGAAAAAGTGATTTTAGCCTTTTGTACCTTTCGAAAACATTAGCCTTGTGAGCTAGCAAGCTTTTAAAGTGTCAAAATTCTGAATTTCAATGCAGTTTTGCTTTCATAATCAAGACTGGGGCAATTTTTTTTAAATCAGGTGGAGAAAGTGAAAAAAGATGGAAATACTTGAATGTAAAAAATAAGTGCATATAAAAAATAGGTGGTCATTTTTTGCAACCGACATGTGAAGACGTTTTTGTGTTCTTCTAACAATGAATAATAATCCGCATTCGTCCTAATCGGTTACATGTATCGATGTGAGAAAAAAGGTGATATTGGCAACACATAAAATTGACATTTTTTTAGGTTGTTATCCACCCTGCACATCATGCAATTAAAATGGAATTTCAAGGGTGAAAAAGTGACATTTTACACGAATGACAAGAGCCGATGCTAGCTGAACAAGTAGGAAGAAAAACATGAAACTTAATTCACTTCAACCCCACAAAAATGAAGGACTTTGTGAACAAGCTGAAAAGGTCATCAAATCAAACAAGGCTCGAGATTTAAAAAGAGTCAAGCGCACCAGCTGCACCTCCCAGTGCTTTTCCCAGAGTGGAGTTTACGATATGAACTCGGTCCATTTCTCCCAGCAGCTCATCGGTTCCTCTGTAAATGGACATGAACTTCAGCTATAAAACAATTGTGAGCTTCACAACTTGAAAACAACCGAGGCAGCATTTGCATCCGGGCCTGTTTCCTTGACATGCCGGCTACCTTGAAGCACTCCGACAACCTCATGTTCAAAATTGTCGGGCAAGACCACTCAGGTTCTTTATGCAATAATTCAACTACTGTGGCGTGTCTAACGTCGGCATTTATTCACAAATAAAAAGCGCAGCAGTTCCTTTGTCAATCGAAACACACGTCACAATAATTCTTCCAAAATAATACATTTGACTCACCTGCCACGCGGCCCAAGGAAACCCGTGGCGTGGCATTCATCGATGAACACCATCGCCCCGTACTGCTCAGCCAGGTCACAGATTCCTGTTAATGGAGCCACATCTCCATCCATTGAGAAGACCCCATCCGTCACCACCAGCCGCATACGACATGACTGAGAAATAGAAATGCTTGTAAGCCATCGGACCAAAGATACTTAATGCTCAATTTCACTCATCCTGAGGTATCAATAACAATAGGTGTTTATTATCGTGGTTGTAGTTTGAAGCAATCCCCCTAAAATCTTTCCAGTAGTGCACGCATTTGAATTTAAGCTAGGCACACATAAGTACTCGGACACCTGACCATTCACATCGAACTGCTTTACTCTTCTGGGAAGAGTCTTTTTTTGTCAGTTCACTTTTCCGTCTGAGAACAGGAAGAGTGCCCACACACCTGAGACTCCTTGAGTTTGCGCTCCAAATCACCGAGGTCCATGTGTTTGTAGCGCAATCTTTTTGCCCGGCACAGACGGATGCCATCAATAATGGAGGCGTGGTTAAGTTCATCCGACAACACAGCATCGTCCGGGCCCAGCAGAACCTTGCACAGGAGTCATTCAAATGCTTTACACCACGAAGCCAGAAATCCTTTGCTGGAGACGATGCCGCATGACACACCTCAAATAGTCCAGCGTTGGCATCAAAACAACTGGCATAGAGGATGCAGTCCTCCCTCTCGTGAAACTCTGCCAACTTCTGCTCCAGGTTTCTGTGCAAATCCTGGAAAGCAGACATATTAGGGAAAATAGACTTTTTCATTGCTTGCTTTAAATGCTGTCAGGCTGCTAAATAAAAAATAAAATACGTGAAAAACCAGTAACAATTGTAAATAGTACAGCCACCTTATACCAGTTGCATATATGCTTATGTTGTGTTTTGGATTTCATGTTTGGTTTGACACCATAGGAGGCATGCCCAATGTTGTTTTTTTTTCTTCTGCATGCGTGTTGGTGCATTTATGCATTTTCTGTTTATTGGACACACACTGTACCTGAGTACCGCAGATAAATCTGACTGAGCTCAATCCGGCGCCATACAATTTCAGCGCGTCAATCCCTGCTTGCACCACTTCCGGATGACTGGATAGTCCAAGATAGTTGTTGGCACAGAAGTTTAAAATGCCTGAGAGAATAAAGGGAATCAGAAAGAATTCAGGTTAATTATCTTTTGGTCAAGATGTTGAAAAGCCTAGCTGCATGATGTGACAGCTGAAAAAAATACAAGGCAAACAACTTAGAGACACACAAATGAAAGCTGACAAAAACAAACAAGGTGACGCATAAGAGATGATTTCAATTACTTTTTTTGTCATACTCACCATCTTGCTTCAAGGAGAATATTCAGATCACGTTTTATTGTATATCTGTTGTTGCACACCACTCATGGAAACATCACACAAATGCAGGCTTGCAAGGAGGAGTGAGTCAAAGGAGCTTGTTCAAGTGCGCAGCAGTCAGGATGCAGAATAGTATTACTTCAATAAACTTCAATAACTGGTAGTAGTAGATTTTTGTACTGGCATCTCCGAAACAGACCAACAGTAATTTGACATTCATTGTATATCCACCCTTCTCTACCTAAATTGTTATATTGTCGTAGTTGTATACTATCGCTCGCCATTATTTTCCATGACTTATCTTCTTTGTTGTTAAAAATATGGCCCGCGACCTTTGGGCACCTTCTGAAAATCTTATGCGTCAAATGTTGTTTACACTCACTGCCACGGCTTCCCTCCACGTTGATGTGCGGTCCCTGCTTGGACGTGATCACCCTCTCGGCTTTCCAAGTCCCGGCCAAGCGAATAGACTCGAGCTCGCCGTTTAACACCGCTCTGGCTTCAGCAAGAGCCGCGTAGCTCCGATTTAAAACAGAAGCCGAGGGCCGCAGAACCCCCCGGAGAGGGTTCAATAAAGTCCAGCTAGCTTTGCCGAGAGACATGACGGTGAATGTGTGCGTTGTCGATTGTGAAACGTACCCGGAAGTTGGCTGCTGCAACAGTGGGCGTGTGCTTACGTGTGTTCAAAATGGACCAATCGCATTCAAGCTTGTGTTGAAACGAGGAAAGTCGTGATGTGTGGCACCGAGGCAGTTGAGTTACTTCCGCACTTTACTCATGGTTGTTCCGTATTGTTTTATACACCGGGGTTTTCGTTACTTTTTATTATGACTTTTAATACTGCCCTAGCATTGGTTATTGGCAGATTATTGCATCATTTACTAATTCGAACGGAATTATTGTGAACTGAGGACCCTTTGGAAAGTAAAAATAACCTGGCAGGTTTTGACTGAAATGACAAGTTATGGTCTATTGCAACTACAAAACAAAGTAGCATAAATAGTTGACCAGAAAGTAGATGAAGAGGAATTTATCGATTGAGCACGACATATATCCACGAGATATATCCAAATCAAGATTGGTTTTCAAATGAAACCTTGAAATCTGCCCAAACGTGAATCCAAAATGTAATACATTCAAAGTGTTTGTTAAAAATGGTACATATTTTACGTTTTACATTCAATTTTTCAACTCTGGTGCACAAGTCTTCCTCACGGCAGAGGGTTCTGGTTTGGAATCTCGACTTTGGATGTTCCAGAAGCTTCCTGCCATTCCAAACACATGCATGTTGGGTTCATTGAAGTCACTGAATAAAATGTCTTCGATTCCGCCTCCAGCCTTCCTGTATGAGGTTTGCATGTACCCCCTGTGCCTTTGAGGGTTTTTCTCCGGGTACTCTGGTTTCCTCCCACTTTCCAAAAACATGCATGGCAGGTTGATTGGGTAGTCCAAATTGTCCCTGGGTGTGATTGTGAGCACAAACGGTTGTTTCTTAGTGCCCTGCGAATGGTTGGCAACCAGTTTAGGGTGCACACCGCCTATTGCCCGAAGCACAGCCGCGACCCTTGTGAGGAGAAGCGGATTAGTAAATAGATGGATGGATGACTTAAGTATCTTCAACATAGTACAATTTTTAAAGGTGGGTGATAACAGGAACAATTCTTGGTTGTTTGGTTGGTTATTTAATTGAACTCTGCATTTAAACTTAAAACATCTTGACAAAGAAATATTATGGAAGTAAAAAACAAAACAAAAACAAGATCGATGTTACTATTCTTTTACATTTAACCTGAAGCGAAGCCTCAAACTCTTCAAATGAGAAATTGCTGACATAAGTTAACAGTGTTTGTGCTACTTACACAAAGGCATTATCTGTAACTCATCATGAGATACCACAAATCAGAGTTTATAGCAATATAGTCGTCTATGTTGCAAAAGTTGTTTTAGTATCAATATTCCATGTTTCCTTCAATAGTAGGAATGTTACCATAGAAATTGTGCAAATGTTTGCATTACCACCACTTAGTTACATCAAGCAAAATGCTCTGGCCTTCATTCACTTGTTACCAGTTAAAACCCCAGTAAAGTAACATAGCAGGATACACAAGAAGTAATTACGGACCGCAGTCCTCCATGCCCAAATGTGCCTTGGATACATAAAACCAAAATACATCTCCATCTGTCCCTTCTGGCAGAGGTACTTTGTGAGAGTTGCGCGTGCGGCAGGCGGAAGTGCAGCTCAGGATTCGGAGTGGTTGGCGTCCTGGGAAGACTGTCGTACTGAAGGCAGCCGCTCAGCTGCTTTGACTCTTTGCGCCAAGAACCTGTCAAATTCTTCATAAGACGACAAACACTATTAGACAAAAAAAAAAAAAAAAAAAAAGCCACGCATAATCTGCTACAGGAAAATAACTGAATGTCAAAAAGGGATGAGATTAATAGGCAACTGAATCCTTGCTCACCTTCGCTTGTGACACCATCAGAGTCCTCGTTGTCATCGTACTGTGTCACAAAAAGAAACCAAATGTTATTGTACAAAGTAATTAAATACAATGCAACGTTACAATGATGCCATCTTGCGGTACGGATACTGCACAAGCAATCCTCGGTGTCTTCAATGACCCGAACATATAGGCTGTGGGGAGGTGGGGTGAAACCTACACAAGCAGGCGATTGTGCTAACCACTTGTACCTGTTGCTGTAGTCAAGATTCAAATGCAAAAAATATTCTGTGGCAATGGATGCCTGCGCATTGAAGAGGCCTAGTTTCATTTTAATCTAAATGTACGGTATGAGTCACCCGACTGCTCACCTCATCATCCAGCTCCAGCCATTTCTCAATATCTTCCATTACATTGGACTGCTTGAGGGGAATCTTAAGAGAAGGAAAAAAAATATCAAAACAAAAGAATGACAGCGTCTCATCCCCTCAAAGAAAAAAGAACAAACAAAAAAACCAACCAAAACAGATACACACACAAAATAGCTACCCCAACGTGACACAAAGTAGAAACATTCTAAGGAAATGGAACATCAGGACAAAGCAAAGCAAATTTTTCCATGCGCCTTGCACACCCAGGGCAATTCAAATAATAATTCAAGTCTGTGACACTTTGACTAGCATGCAAACCAAACAGTTTATGGGGCTGAAAACGTGAACCACTGACCATAACAAAAGTGAACTGCAACCTCATGACAACAACAACGACTACTACTTCTACAAACCCCAGAAATTTAAAAAAAACGTTGTACATGGACCCACCATTCCCCTTTTAATCATCCAGTCTAACTTTGGTGACGAGCTGTGGGAGGAGGCTGGGCTGCAATCCTTCGTTGCACAGATAGAGAATTCTTTCAAAGTAGGATCAAGTGATTTCAATCTATTTCTTGACACTAATGCTGACATTGTTAGAAGCATAATAACACGGCAAGACACACCAAAAATGTGCTGGCAGATGAGACCGGGTGTTCCAAAATTTACAGATCATGTCATAGTTTAATTATTAGCCAGTTCCCATTTCATGATGCGATTTGAATGCGTTGTTGTGATTTGTCAACGTTAGTTACTCAGAAATCAATATTTCAGTTTATGTCAGATTTTTTTTTTTTTTTTTTTTTGGAACAAGCATCTTATTTTTCCTCAGGGTCTCGTTTCCGGTATCCGCTACTTGTACAGCTCAGCCAGCAGTAATAACACAACATTTATTAACATAAAAGTCAAACCATGACAATGATTTACTGAGTTTGCTTCTCAAGTCAGAAAGCGAGCTACCTCTTACACCCAACATGAGCAATTTAGGCACAGAATCTTTTTTTTTTTTAACTTACCGCTTTAGAGTTTTGCATGGTGTTGTCCTGCGCTTGCGCAAGGCCATCCAGTCCAATGGCTGTATGCTCACTGAAACCAAATTAACGAACGTGAACATGAACTGCAAAGTAGGCTTGTAATATATTCAAACCCCTCAAGAAAAAAAAAATCCTTCAAAAAAAAATATTACTCTGTGTGTTATTTTCTGTACCTTCGTCTTTGAGCAGAGCTATTCCTTTTCGGTAAAAATGCATCCACAACATCACCTTCCCTTGTGTCTGTTGAAAGGACAACAAAAGCGTTTTGCGAGATAAACGAAAAGTAGATGATAGTTTTGATAAAATTTGTAGAATGCTAAATTAATCCCACGATAAACGAGAGAATGCTGAACAGCGACTGCATCAAATGTGAAGAAAGGCAAAATCAGTTTATGCTGATTCGTCATCCAACACAAAATCACTGCTATCGGCAATGAGTTTAGGTAAACCTCAATGAATATATAAATAAACAAACGAACGAAACAAGTCGCAGTAAAGAACTTACTGAGCCCTGCCATCTGGCTGGACAAAGTGTCCTCTTTCGATTGGCTGAGCGAGCCTCCATTTGTGACTGACGCAGCCGCTGATTGGCTCACATTGAGGTCCGTGAGGTTTACATAAGTGTGGCCCTGCAAATGCAAACGAGACAACTGTCAACATGAAAAACAAACAAACCCCAAAAAAGCCCCCCAAAACACATAAAAGGTTGTCTACCTGTTGTCTTGTGTTTGGACAATTAGTTAACTGTCTTTCAAACCTAAAAACAGCAACAAAGAGAAATAAGAAACTACCTACATATGTTTGTAGACGAGACCAAAGTATCCCGATGGACATCCTCTACTTGTTTACACGAAAAACAACAGGAATAATCTTTATCGTTATTGCCATTGCCTCAAGATTGTATAGTGGGGAAAAAAAAAGTCGGTTTACCTGTGATAGCGCGAGAAGGCGGTGTTCATCTCGTCGTTGGTTGCGAGTAACTCCTCAATCAACTTCTCCTCACTAAGCCTGGGGACAATCTTCACTATCCTGTCCTGCATTTCCTTACATACTGTGTACAACTGCTAATGACACAACCAAAGAGAGAGAGAGAATGTGTGGGTGGGGGGTTGTGGTGGTGCAGATGTAGCACATGCGTAAAGTGCGAGATCAGTTAAGGGCAACGAGAAAGTGCGGGAGACGTATTCTCACTGGATAAAATGAAAGCAATAATGTACTCGGATTGATCATAACACCCGAATGGGTGCAATTTGTGTACCTCCAGCAGCTCCATGTCAGCTTGTTTTACCGTGACAGGATCCAGCTGACTCATCATATCGGACATCATGGTGAGGTTGGTCCGCACCACTCCCAGCTCTGCTTTTAGTGCCCCCACCTGGAGTAATAAGAGCTAATAGTTTACTTAAGAACTATAAATGCCCTTGACTGAAAGTACACGGAGGTTCGTTGAAACGCCAACGACTCGTAATTGGAGCACTTGTAAGTCAAGGTAGCAGGTATCTTGAAAAAAAAGTCTTAAAGTAACCCCTTAGTGCAGCAAAGACCATCACCTGGTTGGGAGTGAAGGCATCACTTCCTTCTAGCGTCTGTTTTAGCTCAAGGGTCTGGGGTGGGGTTAGGGGAGGTTTGGAGGACAGCAGCACAGCGGGGACAGTAGCAACAGCGGGCCCGTTCCGAGACGAGGTCTGCTAAGCGAGGCACAGAAAGCACCCGAAAAGAAAGATTGACCAAAGATGAAAGGTAGCGTTCGGCGTTTAAGAGGGAGTCGTGAAAAAGTGGTTGTACCCTTTTGGGGGCTTGGACTGGTGGGTAGCCATCCAGTTCCGTCACAGGGAACTCAAGCCCTTTCCTGCGCAGGTCTTCATACACTGACACCACACCCGTCAGGTCGGGCGAGCTACGGAATGCGTCTGCCCACGCCTTGAAACGATGTCAACCACAAAATAACAAGAGGTGGAATGTGTCAATACGAATTAAAAATAGCTCTTTTTCCGTTTAGCAGCGGCCAACCTGTACAATGCCGAGCACTCTGTCGTGTACGATCAAAGGAGGGTTGTTCCTCGGGATGATAGAACGGACTAGAACCCCCTCGATAAAATCCCTTGTGGTCACCAGAATGTGAAACCTGTATCCGCAGTTCTTCACACAGGTTTCAAGCACCTGGAGCCAGAAACACGCAATGTCTCATATCTGATAAAACATCACAAGAACAAAAAGAGCCCATGGTGGAGGTGTGTAGATACACTCACGGTGAGTGCCAGCATGACCTCCTTAAAGTTCCTGTTCCCCACAATCCTTTTCTTTATGGCTCTAACTGCATCTTTGGGTCTGGAATTAGAGAATATTGACCTTTCAGATACATGCAACCCTGAGCTCATTTCTTATAACACACACACACACACACAAAAACACACCCTTCCTCAGAGCTGTTAACTACGTCGCAGATCTCCATGTTGAGAGACCAGTCTTCTGATGGCAGGCTCGAGCTGGTTGCAATCTCTGCGACAGACAAATCGACAGACAGCTAGATATGCATTGTAAATCTGTGTTTCTGTGCTATTTAAATCAGAGTTTATGACAAGAGATACTGAAAAACACAAATTCCAATACAATTTTACTGGGATAAAAATCTAAACTATTAGTGGCAGGATGTTTAACAGATGTGCTTGTTCATTTGATTCAAAGGAGAGACAAACGCATATTAATTTAATCCAAATAATTTTAAATTAAGGAAGCCTTCATGGGGCTTTGAACTTTTGTTTAGACCATATACAAAGATAGAGGAACGGCAACAGCGCCCTGTGGGATGGCAGTGCAGGCAAAATGCGCAACAGTATTTCAATTTTAAAAATAACAAAAACAGTTTGAAATGTGACATTCTTGTTTACCATAGCTGAGTCTTTTCAACACTACAAACAGTGGAATAATATTACTTTCAAATGTATCGAGTAACTATTAATATATCATGTGTAGTATTACATGATAATAATAAATACATTTTCAGTGTTCTTCACGTTACTGGAAAAAAAAGCTTCAGACCAGCCACACAATAGACACAATCATGTAAATATATTTCTTAAAAAAATAAATAAAGAACGCAATTCATTTTTTCCCAACTGTACTATATTTGCATGAGTGAATGCAAACGCATGACGACTTGCCTCTGATTTAGGTCAGCAGGAAGTTTCAACCAATCTATTTGCAACATGGCGACGTTTTGGACCCCGCCTGTGTCTAACTATTGGCTGACAAACACGTCAATCAAGCATTACCTCTTACTCTTCTGTCGGTATCATTAAATACTTAATGATGATTGAAATAATAGCGTGTTATGCACCATAACTGTATGCTATGTAGTGTGTGCATTTGAGACTAAAGTATAAGCCAAATACAGGTGAATGTTCGCGTAGAATGACTAACGAAGATGCCGGGCTTGCTCGTCATCGTGATTACATTGAAACCACGCATGAGCGGCTGGAAAACAAGCTCACCGATCCGCTGTCCGACAGGCGTACTGAACGGGTTCCCCAGTAGAAACTCCATTGTGGAGGCAGCGAAGGCCCAGCAGAGCACCAAAGAACCGGACCGGGCCGAGCCGTACGCACCGGGCGGACGAGCTGGCTGCTGCACCCCGCCTTCGAACAGCACAAAGTGGGCCACTAGTTGAGCTGCGTCACGAATTTAAAGGGATAGCGTCATGGAATCGTCACCCAGACGTCTTGGGAAAGTGCGCTACACTCGGGCTGCTTTTGGTGCTACACTCGAACGTCGACTTGCCTTTTAGAGGAGAAATATTGTACACTATCATCTAGTAGCGTAGAGACTGAAGATGTGCAGTATATGCTGTATGTGCATTTTGTATTGACACTATCGTAATTAAGCACTGACCTAGATTCACAACCTAAATTATAATATTGGTTCCCCGAAATCAATCGAATTCTTCCCCGACAGTCTAATCTCTTCGGTTTGTTGTGTTTGTAATAGTTACACAGCTTCAAAAATGTTTATGGGGATTTCATTTTTTTCGACCAATCAGATTTATGCTGCCATGTAACTCGAGCAACGGGAGCGAAGACAAGCCAGTGCTGATTGTCTCCCCCTTCTGGAGTAAAAGTCTTCATCAAAGCTAAAGTGCCTCTCGCTTGTTGTTGTGATGTACGACCGTCACAATACGGTGGCACCCAGTAACTTTGATAAATAATTTTCATCCGATTACTGGTCTGGCTGTAGTAGCACATTAGAGTAGGCTGTTTATTAGACTAACGGATTACTGGCATCACTGGATTGGGTCTGCAATGCATCTCCTGCCGAATTATATATGATGAGGTCATTTCATTTTTAATAGAATAATGGACGACAAGGGGTTAAAAGATTTGTTTGGTTTTTTTGTCACCCAACAGGTCAGTCTAGTCACTCAAGCAGCCTTGCCCACAATGAACACTCCTGTGACTCAGTGTCACAAGTCTAGTCTCAAGTCCCACACCATAGCGCAAATAACGCTCGGTTAAGGACTAGAGATGTTCCTAAGACAAAAATTGTTGTACAGTATTTGATGCAGACCGCCACTGGGACCAAATAAAAGTCACTGGATAAAAGTGCAGTCTTGCATTCTTGGTAGGACTCCCGGTTGTGATTTCGGCTTCTTTAAGACTAAACTATGTATTAGTGACAGTACTGAGGTACAGTCAATGCTGTTTAAGGAAAAGCATTTTAATTGGCGATGCTTGATGTCACGTTTCCAGGGACTCTTTTATGTCTCAGCAAGACAAGCCGCCTTTCCCACTAGCGCCCAATTAGAGTGGGTTGGCATGTCTATATATTCACACACAGTAGCCCACTAATTAGTCTTCAGATTAAATACAGTGGGGACAGTTGCCTGTGCACGGGTCTGTTCATCCGCATTCACGTGTGACGGCCTTCCTCTGCCTGCCAAGGAGTAATGTCATATAACAAGGAGAGAGTGGGGGAAAAAAACACTTTAGTGAACCGCGCAGTTCATGCTATAGCCGTTTGTAGCCGTGTGAACGACGATGAACTGTTTTTATTCCTGTCACCGTATTATCCAGGATTTTTTTTTTAAAAATGAATGCTCCATTGGGATTTTGTTTTAATGATGATGCCGCGATGTTCACTTCGCTTGAACCAGGAGAGCAGGAGGGGATGCTTCTTAAGACCACCCACTGTATGAGTCATCTAGGACTGCAGAGTGTGTGTCTGCATCAAGTTGTGGGGCAAAGGAATACAGCCGAGGAGCGAGAACATCTCGCCACAGCGAACATGATCCTCAAATGCAGTGATCCGATTGCATGCTCGTGCGATATTTGACATAACATTCATCTTTCTGACGCATAAGTCACGAAACAGGGTTTGAATGTACCTGAAACAAACCACAAGCATTTTTTTATGACGCCGATCTTTATTTTTGCACAACACGAACTCTTTGATACTCACTCTGTGTTACTGCAGTACCGTGAGGAAATCAAAAATGAAAGTAAGGAGTCACACACAGCCTTAAGCTTGATAATAAGAGTGGCGGTAATTGCCCTGCCAAACAGCCACCATATTACAAAAAGACTTCATTCCGGTTCCCTCCCGTGGGTCACTTAATGAGATCACATTACAAATAGGACAATTAGGATCGTACAAACGCTTGAAGCTCAAAAGATCTTTTCATGCAACATTAGGGTAGCACGTACACCAAAAGTTTTTCTACTTTGAGGACATATGCTCACTCCCAAGAATTTTCATCACTTCAAAATGCATACAAGATGCAATGAAGTGTAGGCATGCGCGCGAGATGTGTTACATGATGGCGCACGTGACGCCGCAGCAGTCTTTCAGTAGCGTTAGTCCAGTTTTGGAGATAAAGGGTGCTGGTGTGCGTGTAGCTTTGGACATCACCTTCTGGTCTTGCAGAGCGCCTGATTTGAAAAGGGAGGCATATTGCTCAGTTCCACCAACTTGGCTAACGTCTTCAATATGATCCATTTGAAGACAAGCGAAAACATTTGAGATGCTTGCGAATGACAACGGCACGAGAAGCTCACCTTTGGTGCCCGGAGTGTTGTGGAGCTTGGGCTGCAAGAAAGCTGCCATTTCTCGGTCTTCTTCTCTCTCTCTGGGAAGAACAAATATTTTTAATCCATGAAGTAGTCGGATCGTGTCACATTTTGAGATCAACACTGCCGAAACTTCAAGGCTGCCATTTCACGGTCTTCTTCTCTCTCTCTTGGGAAGAACAAATGTTTTTAATCCATGAAGTAGTCGGATCTTGTCACATTTTGAGATCAACACTGCCGAAACTTCAAAGGAAAAAAAGCAAGTGTTGCAAAACAGAGGTCCCCTGTTGATCGAATCAAAATAAAAGCCGTCGGCGCTTGAAGTTTCCCTTCACTGACACCCTTTACTTGTGTCTGACTGCCCCCAAAAGGAATTCTTCATCTCCATCAAATTGTTGAAATCGGCACGACGATGACCAGAAAGTAACCACAGTCCTTGATGCAAAAACCAACGCAGCAGAGGGAGACAACGTGGGCAAAGTGTAAAGCAAATTTTATCCTCACATATTTTTTTGTTCATTGCCGGTTGTAAATAGTCCATGTTTTTGCGATCTGATATGCAGCAGGTCAAACTGAACCGTTTTAGTGTAAGAGGAAGGTCAAGCGGATGGCATGTTTTATCACAGCGGGTTGAAAAACAAGTTGGGAAAACAAACCCGAGTAGTAGGCCGGGGATAATAGTTCCTAATTGTTTCAACACACGGCTCAACTTTTTTCCACCAACAAAGGAGGGGCTGAAGCTTTTGAGGCTTAACCTGCGAGGTGCGGAGGCGCCGCATGAAGAATCTCACCTGAGCCGCTCAAATTCCACATCATCTACAAGGAAGTCTCTGGTCTCCACCAGCTTGCTGATCTGCCGCAGCAGCTCCTCCTCCCTCGTCCGATCCTCCTTGGACTTGTCTCGGTCTGTTCAACCGTCACGCGCACCCCACAGAGTCATTTTCATGTCAAAAGGGACATTTCAGAGCATCACATATATTCCCGCTCCCCCTCGAAATAACGACAACATCCCATTTTCTGTTGAGGTTTGCTCCTTGAAAACACCCGGCATTTCTCGGCAAAGGTCATCGTCTTGGAATTTAAAGTTTTTCATCTGTTTAGACACGAAAGAAAATTATACAGTAAATATCAATCTTTTAGTTTTGCTCCCAAAGATGGAAGGCTTTTTCTATGAAGAAAAATTGCCTCTTTCTCCTTACCTCACCGTGTGGGATGTTACGATGCCGCTATTTTACAGATTTTTTTGGAGGGTGGGGGGTGGGGGTTACAGTCAATAAGTGTTTTGTTCTGTATTTGTATTGTGACATTGCTGTCTACATTGAGGACGATTATGAATACATTCAAGCTATCTCGTTATTTATTTTTGATACACTCACTTTAAACACTCTCCACTGCAGTCTGTCTTTTTAGTTGCCACAGCAACATTTCTCATGGCTCTACATGTCATACAAACTTCATGGGGGAGGGCGGGGGGGATCATCATTCATCAGTGCATTTAGAAGAAGAAGAAAAAAAAGAAGAGCCTTGAAAATTCACCAGTCGCTCTCTTTTTTTTTTCTTTTTTCCCAGCCGAGCTTCAGTGCACGCAGTCTCTACAGAGGCCATCACTGATGAGTAAAAATCTTCTTAACACATGGTTGTATTTCCTGAGCACATGCTCTGAAAACATGTCTGGTAATGGTAAACAAATCATGGCAGAGTTGGAGGCCAACAGATTTGAAAGATGATCGTAAACGGCTTCGGGGCGCGGCACATCCTGAACTGGAGAAGAGGCACTTGTCATTTGCTGACCGAACCTTTTCAAAGATGAAGTCGGAACGCGACAGGTGTTTGTTTCACGTCTTATAAAATCATTTCTTCTTCATACTGTACACGTATTTGTAACGGACATGTTTATACTGTAGTTACATGTTCATATTGTATTATACATCGTAGTTGGCGGCCATTTTAATGGTTACATTTAAATCCCTCGAGGTACGTTGTAACCAGGTTCGACTGTACATAATCGTGTGTTTCACAACAGCCGCGCTCACTGGAAGTGGCTGCTGTTTGAAAGTACCTGGGACTGAAACCAGTTTCTGCAGCTCTCTCTTCAGCCTTGTGATTTCATTACACAACTGAAAGTCTTCCATCCTGTGTGGAGGGGGAAAAAAAAAACACATTCACTTACAAAACGTGACTTTCCAAACAGCAGGATCAGTCCTCTTACAAATCACGCAGCTCCACTGTCATTCTTGAGTGTAATATCCTAAAATCAATTTCCAATGTCTAATTAAGAGCTTGGGAAGGAACCGTTGGTGAAAATCATTTCAAAAGTACCACAGATAGTTGCTTTGTTGTCGAACAGCAATTTCCCTTGTCCCCTCGGATGAAATGAATCCAAATGCACAGTGAGCCGATCTTATTTCACTGGCCCGAGCAAAATTAGAATTGGGTTGTGTGTGCCAAGGTGGTGTGCTGGACGTGCATCTTGACTTGTGTTTATTGATAATAATATAAGATAATATTTCTTACATGTATCTCAACTCTGACTCTCGCCGCACGAGGACGTTTCGTAGTCGCTCAATTTTGAACAGCTCCCCTTCGATGTCCTCGAGTGTGATTGAGGAATCGGCCATAGAGATGACATCTTCTGAAGAAAGATAAACGAGGCTATCACATACATTTCTTACATTCGTCTGGAAATATATTTGTCCAATGTGCTTTATTAACACGACACAAAGTTTGGCTTGATGATTCTCCAGCACAGTAGAAATGTGATGGATTTAAATCCTGTTGACAGTAAATGGCCCTCGGGGCGCGAGCATGAGGCAACTGGTTTAAAACAAACTTTGCTTGCGGTGGGCTGTTGTCCTTGCCTAGTTGCAAGTCATGGCACTCCAGAGACCCAACTATTTGTATACTACCCATTAAAAAGTCAATTTTCCCAAAACTGTCCCATTTAAAGGCAGACATGAACTGTAATCATGTTTGTAATGAAACACCTGCGCACGCGTTTATGCTGCAGGCTCCACTAATTACAGGACTTCTGCAAGCTGTTAAATCAGTTGGCTTGTCGAATGAAAATTGCTAGCCCGCTTAAACAACAATAATAGCAGTCTACAGGAATTATCGTGGCTAAACTCCATCCATCCACCCATTCATTGTCTGTAGCACTTGTTCTCATCAGGGTATCCCAACTTTGGGCAAGAGCGGGTTGCTAGTCAATTGCATGGCACATGTAAACAAACCAGAGTAGCCAGAGAAAACATAAACCAGCACGGGCGAACACGCTATTTCCACACAGCAAGGCCTGAACCGAGATTTGCAAACAGAGCCAAGCCGTCATCGCTAAATAGCCTCAAGATTCTGTGTAACGTGCATCGTAGAAAACTATGGTTAAAGTTTTAGGGAGGATTTACAATTCAAGCGAGTATGATTGGATTAGTTCCCATGTTTTTTTTTTGTATTGGATATAATTAAATGTCTGGGTGTCCCTAATATTGTGACGCGGGGAGAGTAGGTGTGGGTTAGTAACTATGACAAGTGACAAAATATGAAAATGTAAGAGACAAGTACGAGAAAGTTGTCTCTGCACTGATCCTCAAGGTTTCGGTTCACGTGTTGAAGCCATCGTTTCGGTGAGAATGCACCAGCCCCGAACCCGCCACCTCCACCACGACAGCCTCCTACTCGTTTACTGCTCACCAATAGCGATGAGTCACCCGGTCGAGCTGAGATTTACTTTTAATTACCTGTGTTTGGCTGAAAGGACATTTACACTCTTACATATCGAGTCATGGTTGATACCACAGCTACAACTCACCAAGACATTCATGTGGTGCTGCTGCAACTTCATTCATTTAAATCAGTGGTCCCCAACCTTTTTTTTTTTTGTGTGTGTCACGAATATCGAATCAATGTTCTGTCGAGCGTTCAGCCAAATAATGTGTAGCCAATTTATAATGCCTACAGTATGTTGATGTATGAAAATGAGCAAAAAAAAACATAACATAGCAAAACCTCTACGTGGTCTACAAAACAAACAAACGAAAACATGCAGTTACAGGACGACTTTTGAAGCTAATGTTCGATTTTATTTGGAAGGAAAAACTCATACACGGAATGAAACAGTTTTCTAAATATGCACGAAATAACTTGTATCTGCATGAGTTATGACGTATACTCCAAATGAACATGTGTAAAAAAACAAAAACAAAAACAAAAAAAAAAACCCCGGTTTGTTTTAACCACCACACACCTAACACATGCATCACCTGATTTCTCATTTGCTTCATCCATTTGCGCCTGGTCCAAAGTGTCGTCTCGTTCAGAAGATGTCCGTTATTCCATGTTCCTCACCAGAAGTCCCCTTCAACAGTGCAGACCAGCACAAGATGCAACGAGGCACTCACGGGCGGGAAATTGCGGGAGAGCTGCGCGTGGATGCTGAAGCCACTCCGACGCTGAGGAATCTGAGATGACCACTGGATGCCGATCACCACTAAAACACGCCGCCTAGTGGCACGTGCGTGCAACGCCAGGCCAGCGGTGGGATATGCGCAACAACCATCAGCGAACACCAAAAACGTACTGACCTCAAATGAAGATTCTGTGCGACTTCTACATGATAAGGATTAAATAGTCACAATGACTACTCCGACGCAAAGGTGAGTTTGGCACCTGGGCCTTGAACGAGGACCTACCTGACTCATCAATACTGTATCTACTCACCAGAGATGCTGATAACACGTGTCGACAAATTTTTACGAATGATTTTGATCGGAGATGCGAGTAAACTTTTCAGTTCAGTACTTTGATATTTAGCCCGGCAGACAAGGCCTGCTCCTGAACATGAACGACATTTTAAATGTTTGCAAAAAAAGGAAAAGAATGGTGGTTACACCTGCTGTTTTATCAATCAACTGAGCTCTAACCACAACGGCATTAGCCCAACGGGGGGTGGCTCTCTCATCACAATTTCCCGATCGTGTTCCGCTGCAAACAACATAATATGGATGAGTTGATTTCACGCATCAGGTTCCTGAGGGGCCACCCGGCGGCCATATGGGGAGGAATTGTGGTCTGGCATCTGTTGCCTTTTGGGACCTCCCACTGTATATCGATATCCTTGAAGAGCCGCGCTCATTCGTCACAAGTACAAGAGGCAAAGGGGAAATTATTTGTTCTTGAATAAAGCGGTTTACTGTTCAACACAAAGACTGTACAGACCTTCCAAAATAACACGTCAAGAAATGCCAACTCACTCTCAACTTCACCAGCAGTTAAACGGATGAGGCGGCAAGTGGGTGTGACGGAACACGACTCCACAGTCGTTGAACCTCACCTTATGCACACGTCTGCTATTTGCATTTAACTGAGCGGATTCACAATTGAGCCTTCCTCGCCTTTTCTACAAACCCGCTGGGGGTGTTTGTCCAAAAATGAGCGGCTTGTGTCAATTTACGCATTAACAACAGTTGATACCTCCGCTCCATAAAAAAAACACAAAACAGACAACGCAAAGGAGTAAAAAATAACTCAAGTGGATCACTCAGCTAAAGGTAGTAGAATATTTTTTGTGGTGATGCCGTAATATAGACTATTGTGAAGCCCTGTGGTTTTGGCTATCACATCCTCACCAAATTAACCAATTTTTTTTGGGCGTAACTTTTCCTCTCTTATTCACCGAAAAACTCATATTTTGGCTATCACATCCTCACCAAATTAACCGATTTTTTGGACGTAACTTTTCCTCTCTTATTCACCGAAAAACTCATCAACGGATTTTTGTGCTCAGGCCAGAACAATAAAAGCATTAGTGTCAAAGGTGGTGACCATCTTGTTACTTTCTTTCATTCTGTGTTTTGTTTCATACTGTAGTTGTGCTATTGGGCTGAAATACCGTGTTTAATTTTAATCAAAAATGTATTTAGCCTGATCACTTATGTTTTCTTTTAGGAAAGCTCGTTGCACGCCTTACAAATTCTGTCAGGGTATGTAAACTTATGAGCCCAACTGCACAGGCAATTGAAAACCTCTTTTTGGAGGAGGCATATTTTCGTGAAGCACAGCAGAGCTCGCTCACGATCTCGGCAACGTGGTCTGGTCCGAATTCTTTTGTCCAAACTGGATGACACTGTTCTGCATTGTTCATTTTGCGTTGAAACTTCACACTTGAGTGTTTGGTGCATTCGTTACCCGTGGTCACACTGTACAGACTAGCGGCTTAGTGTCCTTCCATAATTGTTGTTATTGCTGCTGTCGTCTTCCATCGCTTTATCCAGCCAGTCTCTTTCTTCGTCCGACTCCGAGTCGCTGGCCTCACTGGTGTCTGCCGCCAAAAGACGAGAATAGTTGATCCTGTAGTGGTGGGGGGCGTTGCACTGGAGCAAAGGCAGACATATGCACCACAGCATCATAGCCGCGGCCAACCCTCTGAACAGCCACTCCAGCCCACACCAGCGAACCACGAAGCCTCCAGCAAAACTTCCCAGTGCACTCCCCAAGTCTAAGGACAAGACATTGTAGAGCCTCTTGATACTCCTCTCTGTTCCTGGCGTGGCAATGTCATCGCTCTGCACCTTCACGGCCCACCAGAAGGCTCCGCAGCTGAAACAGCTCATAAGCTGAGCAGGTAGCACAGCCCACGGTCCCCACAGGAAAGAGTAATACAAACACTGCGATCCGAGACTGGCCGCCCCCAGCGCCAGCACCCTGCCTGAGCTGAGCAGTCGAGTCAGTCGGACAGCCACCAGCGGGAAGGCGGCCTGTGAGAGCGCCGCGAGGCTGAGGGACACGCCCATGTGCAGCTCGGTGCTGCCGTGATCCTGCATCTGCCACAAGAGGAAGTTGTCCACAGCCGAACGCGTCATCCCCACCAGCAGGGCGGTGACGGCGCACAGCGCCGCGCGCCGGGAGCCGCGTACCAGCTGAATGGCCTTGAGCAGCCGGTTGACCTGGCCTTGCTGCTTGTTCAAGTATAGAGGGAGGAAGGCCGCAACGGGCAAGGCCAGCGCTGACACGCCGGCGTAGCAGAAGAAGTGCACGGCGCTCCTGGAGGTGCGTCCGATGATTAAACAGTTTAACCGGCTGACCAGCAGCCCCGCTCCGCCGGCGCCGCACGCGGCACCGAGTAAAGGCCACACCCCGGCGCTGCTGTACCGGTCTGAAGCATCGGCAAAATCCAGATAATCGTACAGGCCGTCGTCCGCCGTCCACTCAAGAGGTGCTGCCACCAGCTCCCATCCAGACACTGTGATAAGCACTAAGAAGAAGAGCTGATGTTGAACGTCCATCACCTTCAGGCTGGACAGAAAATCCGATTGGCCTTCCTCTTCATGTTCCTCAGCGTCCCGTTTGCGTTGCGACTTCTTCTCCTTCACCGAGGCGAGAGTCGTCGGATGGAACTCAATCGTGCTGTTGGTATTGTTTGGTCTTACCGCAGGAAGCTGTGACGTTCTTCCTACTGCAACAGATGTTCTGTTAACAGGAAAGGCGATAGTAGACCAGGAGTCAGCTGTGCTGACGTTTTGGTGAGACTCTATGGGTGACGGAGTGCTTCTCAGACTCGACCCGTTGCAGGAGTTGATGTGTGTTTGCAGATCTACAGGCGGAAAAAGAACCACGACAAGGGCGGCCACAGCTGAACACACCACAGAGCCGTGTATCACCGCTCGCCTCTTGTTGTATATCTTGGCGAGCAAGCTGGCCAGGGGCCGCCACACCAGCGAAATAAGGTGCTTGGTGCCCATGATGATGCCCGCCATCTCAGGAGCGAGGCCCAGCTGTCTGAAGTACAGCGTGAGGAAGGGGAGCAGGCAGGATTTGGCACAGGAGTACACCAAGTGAAAGGCTCTCGCCAGAGCGAGGGTCTGCTTGACATTGATCTGCTTGGTCTTCTTCATGGTGCAGTTCCTGGGTGCTTGATTGGCTTCACATGGAGCAACTAAGGGACACACAGTCAGAGATACGTGTGAGAAAACAAGCAGTCAAAAACAAAACAATCAAACAAACAAACAAAACCATCCCTTGAACATCGTGATGGGATTTCTCACCCATTCATATGATGGAAAATGTACTATTTAATATTTAATTCTGGTATTAAATTCAAAAGTGACATTATATAGTAGGCCTACTATACGTGAGCTTCACGTTTGGAATTGAAATACTGAAATAAATGAAACTTCTCTGTTTCGCTGAGATTCACTCATTAATGAATGTATACATTTTCGCGATGTACAAATATCACTCTAAATACATTTATTTAAAGAGTGAAACAATGCAACCAGCTGGCGGGTGATTCAAAAAATATACCTCACAGTTCGAAGCATGATCCAATGCAACCACAAATGTCAATTTAAAATGGATTACTCTCCGTTGGTGTCAATCAAAACTGATCATAGAGAGAATGTTTGACATTTGAAGACGTTTCTCCTCCAACGTGTACCTGATGAAATGTCCGTCGAGCGCGCGTACGTTTATCACCCAAACGCTTATTTCAAATCAAGTTTAAAAAAATATCGCTGAAGCGAAAAGGTTCATTTCGTCTCTGTCGAAAAGAATAAGGAACTTGACAGTCACTAACACCTGTCAGGCCGGATGCGCCAGTTAGAGACGTGGAGTTAGCGTCCACGTCATATTACCGTCCGCTGCCTTCACGTCATAAAATAAAACATGAAAGATGTACCTTTTTATCTCTTCCCTGCCCGACGTCTTAAATCGTTTCGGGTACATCTTCTTCCATCACGAAGTGCAGCATTAAGACCACTACTTAGTACCTCCACCTGTTCCCAGATAGCACTTGTTCGGCAACGTTTACAGGACACCTGGACATTTTTTTTTTTCGTAAGACTGCAGCGACCCCTTCAGACGCGGATGCCTAAGTACAAACGTTTCATTAATGGCTATAATGTTTGGCATCCAAAAACATTTGGTTGCCAATGACAACGTCTCACCATAATTCTGACATGCACAAACTCTTTGAGCATGTGTTTGCATGGGAAAATGTGAATACACAATCTATCCGTCCAGTAAAGTTGTGCACCATCAGTAAATTTGCAATACCCAAGATAATTTCATTGAAAAATATTTTTTATTGTGTGTGTGTGTGTGTGTGTGAGAGAGAGAGAGACAAAATTTGCAAAACATAATGCCATAAACAGCCTAAAAACAAATATTCATAGATAACACACACAAAAAAACGGCATCTTTTTAAATATAGTACAGCGATTAAAAATACTGGACTATTACTTATAAAGAGCACATATCTTGAGGCGATGTTGAAGAAAGTCTTGACAACTGAGAATGACTCTAACAACAAAAATGACAACAACAACAAAACCACACGCTTCCACTCCATAATGTGTTGCAGAATAAACCTGAAACAGAGCTGTGTAACAATGTTGCCTTTTTTTCCCCCCCATCTTTTCATCTATTTTCTTTTTGTCGCCATTGTTGGTGGTCCATTCCAGTCAAGGTGTTTTCATGTGTGAGAGAGAGAGAGACAAAATTTGCAAAACATAATGCCATAAACAGCCTAAAAACAAATATTCATAGATAACACACACAAAAAAACGGCATCTTTTTAAATATAGTACAGCGATTAAAAATACTGGACTATTACTTATAAAGAGCACATATCTTGAGGCGATGTTGAAGAAAGTCTTGACAACTGAGAATGACTCTAACAACAAAAATGACAACAACAACAAAACCACACGCTTCCACTCCATAATGTGTTGCAGAATAAACCTGAAACAGAGCTGTGTAACAATGTTGCCTTTTTTTCCCCCCCATCTTTTCATCTATTTTCTTTTTGTCGCCATTGTTGGTGGTCCATTCCAGTCAAGGTGTTTTCAGGCATGCGAGGCAGAGAAAGAGATGAAGGGAAGGCAAAGCATGGAACAGTAAGATGGGTGCAGAGGCTGGACTTGGCCTGGTGAAGGTTTGTATTTCCAGTCTGAACTGCTTCCCGGTTTGCAGCACAAAGACACTTCAAGCCTAAGGACACAGACAATAATTTATGGTCATGTAAAGAAGCTGGAAATGAAACTCCTCAACTCATTTCAACGTTGCCCCTGAACAGCAAGACGTCACAAGATGGTACTAAAATACTAGTTTTATTGCTTTGGCCTCAGCGTGAAAACAGTGAATCTGTGATGTTTCATTTATTTATTTTTTGTTGTTGTAAATAATGTAGCATGGGTTAAAAAAATAAAACGACCTTGTAGCCTATAAGGCTTTTTTTTGGTGTGCTTCGTAGTACCTGGTGACGCTTTGCAGAAACTTCCTCTCGTCTTGATCCAGACACACAGCAAAGGTTGTCCCAGCTTTCCCACCGCTGACCTCAACTCTGTTGACGTTCACCTCCGATTTCGAGGAATTCTACCAGAGAGTTGTAAAGGGAATGGGTAAGCAATAAAATAAGATGTGTTATTTTCAATATATACAATAAAATGTTCACCTGGCTGTTGCTCTTTTTAGACTTGGAGCAGTGCTTTTTTGGGACTTCCGTCACTGAGAGCCATAAGCTTTCGTTTCTATACTCTTGATAGACACAATGCGAATGCATTTCAATATGTTAGATAGTTGGAAAATAAATGTTGAAAAAAAATGAATAGATGAAATAGCAGACCTAAATGCTCAGCTTTGCTGAAGGCTTTGTGAATATTGACGGATGTGCAAAGCATTTCTGCTTGGGTCCGTTGACTCCTTCCACTGCAGGCCACCTGCAATCAATGAACTGAACTGGTTGAAAAATATGGTTACTCAATATTTAATTCTGTTCGTGCTAAGTGCCATGTCCGGTTCAAAGTAGCCCCATTTTTTTTTTTCATCATTCAAAACAGTTGCCAGGTGTGTTACTAACATGTCCATGCCAACATTTTGTCACAGTGGCCCAAGGATCAACAATTGCACACTTTTCACCCTCTTTTTTGTTTTTGTTTGTTCCTTTTCACCCTCGTTGTTGTTTTGAAGAGGCCGTCCTGTCGAATGCAAATGAGCCACAGCACAGACAGAAGATTTTGCGGTGCAATTTCACACTTGACGGTTGGGTAGACACGCCAGACACCCAACTATTTGTATAAAACCCATTAAAATGTTTCATAATTTGCTCCATTTTAGCACCTTATTGTAGGCCACACTCAGCATTAAGGGGACAGCCTCGCTCTCTTCATCAATCCCAAACCTCTTGCTGGCAGCACCTGTGAGAACAATGCCATTCACATTAGACAAAGTGCACGTCTGCTCTGTTAGTCAAGTGTATGTCTGCTTCCGTGTGACTCACCCATGGTCTTGACCGCTCTGGTTGCAGCCGTGTGTCCGAGCTCTACTGAATGAATAAATACTTCACTTCTCTTCTCTCCGTCAGCCAGGGTCAGCTGTGCAAACGAAATTAAATTAGAAAAAAACACACTTTCCACATTGATGAACCTCTGAATCAATTAAGAGTTCAGAATTTCACCCAAAATACTTTGGACAATTATGACAATTGTTGGTCTGTGCAAGATACTGTACTGTGATTGGATGACCTCGGTGAGCTTTTGATATGAACTCAGGGATTCTTGCAGTGTACAAACCTCAGCCCGGTAGAGCTGCACCAGGACTGGTTGGTCTGCATGCCTACAGTAGTAAAGAATCAAGTCAGCCATCAAAGGAAGCTCCACCTCCCGGCCGTTATTTTCGGAGACACTTTCTTCTTTCCATGCAGGCTGCAATACAGAAAACACCTCATTTGACTTGAAATATTGTATAAGGTATTTCTATGAGCGTAGTCCACTTGAACAACACATTTTTTAATCCCCATAACAGGTGATGGGAGGAGGTGGGTTTGATGACCTTTACATTAGTGGTCCCCAACCAGCGGTCTGCAGACCGGTACCGGGCCTCGGTCCGTTTGGTACCGGGCCGCTCAGAGACAGACCTGCGACCTGTGAGCAAATTGACTCCACCAGGCGTGACGTCGACTGTGCCCGACTCGAACCAATTGGAGTTCTCCTTTAAAGCTTGCGTGGAAAGTTAAAATAACCAGAAGCCGCCAATAAACAAAATAAGTAGAAAACAGAAAGTAAAAGTAACGAACTGACCAAACGTACAGTTTTATCCGCGCAGCTGTTGACTTCCGAAGATGAAGCGATTTTGACAAGAGAAGCTCCTGCCCTCGCGGTATATCGGGAGAAACGTGGACGAAGAAGCTTTTCTGTGTGGTATGTCGTCAAAAACAAGGTAATACAAAAAACCTGATGAATCATTCAAACAAGTCACAAAAATGCGACTTTGAACAGCCTGCCCTCGTAAACGTTAATAGTTTCGTCGCTAATAACTTGCCAGTAACCACCGAATGGAAGCAGCAATCAATCTTGCCATCGTTTGACCAGTCCCATTTACAAGTAGCAATGATGCTATTGCTAACGCCGTATGTTGGACCGTAACTTAAACATGATTACGTTTACCTTATAAGACGTATTTATTATTCCTAATTGGTCCATTTCTTAGTTCACGGTGTTATTTTATTTTATTCTGCATTTGTTGTGGAATACAATAACACTGTTTGAAAGGAATTGACGTTAATAAAATGTTGAATTACTCTATTATTGTCGTGGTTGTCGGTACCAGTGGTTTAAAACTGTCAATTTAAAAGGAATAACAAAAAATCGTTGCCGCGAACAGCATGGACTTGTCTCAACCGGTCACAAAAAAGGTTGGGGACCACTTCGCTGTATGACGTCAAACTACAGGTTTTGGTGGTGGCCATCTTTTCATGTTCGTGAAGCCTAGGGCAAACACTGACCCAAAGGAATGAAGAACCGAAAGACTTGAAAAATGTCTGCTGACAAGATAACTGCGTGCCTTGTTCAAGGGGTGAGAAAGTAAGCAAGTGGTGTTGCTGTTTTTCGGTGAAAGTGTACAAATTGGCGCTGATCCATCATATGTTTCCCTTTGGGGCCATGTTGGTGATCATCGAGTGAATGAATGAAGCAGACCGTGCTTATTTTTTCAATTTGATTACCTGACAAAGTACATCTGAAGAGAGACTGAGCAGACTGTGGACACTCCGATCATACCAGGGATCCATCATTCCCAACATCTGGGCTAAATCTGTGGTGCTGTCATCTCGGCAAATACCATTAGGCTGCCAACAAGATGTGAGGGGGGATTAATAGACGCTGAAAGCCCAGACAACAAATGCACATCCCGCCAGTGGAAAGGAGTATGAAGTTGTAAACAAGTGATCTCACCACAGAGGCAGCTTTAGTTGGATGTCCTGATGATTGTCTTTCTCTGGGAATTCCTGTAAATGTTCTTTTTGAGGGAACAAAGTAAAACTGCAACCGGCACATTTTGGTGAGCCTGGGACATTTTGACTCTTTCTCCTGCAGGTTGCTGTAAGCCCTCGCCAGTCGTCCGGCCTCTCTGTCCCGACCGAAGACGAGGACTTGCACCAGAGCCTGCTCTGCATCGGTTTCGGTGCAGCTCAGGATGGGCCTTCTGCGGATGCAAAGATGCTTCTGGGGGGAAAGAGGCTCTTCACCGGTGAGAGGACACGACACGGTAAATGCATTCAGAAGTTGATCTTGGTTGGATTGAGATTGTTTGAGCTGTGTCCCAAGACTGCGTGGGTTCTTGAAAAACAAGGCGAAGTTCTCCATGCCTAGGAGGCTTTTGGATTTCTTCTTGGGCTTCTTTCTACGTTTTGACTCACTCTTTTGTCCCTCAGCTGTGCCCTTATGTCCTCCGACTTCAGCGAAGTCACTTTCCACAAATAATGAGGCACATGTTGTGGACACCGAAGAGCTGGAAGACGGAGAGTGACAGGACAACGAGTCCCTCAAAGAGGAAGGTGGCGTGGAGAGAGAATGCTTCTCCAAGCCCTGATCCGCTTTGCTGCTCTGCATGACTTCTTCCTTCACATCATCCTCATCTCTTGTGAGACATGCCAGAGAGGAATCCAGGTAGCATTCTTTCATGAGAATAGTATTGAGAAAATCTGGAATATGAAGAACACGGTTACGGGAGTTGACGAGAAGTTCGAGATCAGTTAACATGTTTGTGTGGAGTCGTTCAAAAGGTTCTCACCAAAGTTGTCGTTTTCCCAGTATCTGGTGTGACATTGGGGAAAGGGTAGCAGGAAAGTCTCAGCGAACCCTAATGATACAGGAAAAGATGCTGAGATTGAGGAGCAGTGGGGTCTGAAGTCGGTCTTGACAGGCAGGTCACTGCTGATAATTACTACTACCGGTGTTCATTTAATTCTCAACCGCTTGGAGTGTCTATAGACTATTTAAAAAAAATGTAAGACTACTATACATAATTAAAATAACTCATTTGGATGGCACCCTGGCTTGTAATATGGAGAACAGTGGTTCTGTCATCGCCATGGCAACTGTGATTCACCTACCTTAGTGGTCAATAGACTGCAGCGGTTTGGGCACCTGTCCATTTGTGATTGTGCACAAAGCTGTATAAACGCCTCGCTGCCAGTCTGCTCCGATACGTGACTTACCAGTATCCAAGTAATCGTGTGCACTTGTGGGAAGAAGGCCTCGTCTGAGCCCATCAAGCGTCTGTACAAGACACTCTCGGGCAGTGCTAAGATCTGCTGTGGAAGCTGCTGTCTCCATGCAGCAAGTTACCTTCTCCAGTAGCTGCTCCAGCTCAACCGGCTGTTTTGTCTAGAGGAATGTCGGGGCGTTTGTTTTAGGAAGAAATACCCAGAAACCCAGACATGTGAAAAGAAATAGAAGCTTGTTGCCACCTGCAAGGCATCACGGAGTCCCTGCAGGTGGATTTTGGTGCCCAGAGCAGCTTGGAAGCTGTGCAAAATGAGGGTGATAGTGATGTCTCGCTTGGACTGATGGCTTACGCTCAGCTGCTTGGAGACCGATTGGACCTCAGGCGGGATATCTTCATCTGGACTCACTAAGAGCACGATCCTGACCAACACCAACACCCATACACACAAAGAAAGCAATTATTTCTTTATCCCACAGATACATATTCAATCTTCAGGTGTCTGATTGAGCTTACATGGTTTTAGAGTGTTGGTTCTCGGTGGCAATGCCGTGCTCCGTCTTCACCAGTCTTTGAAACGATATGCCTAAATCAAAAGTAGAGTCAGTGTCGGCGGGCGACATCCTGAACTGGTTGCTAGCCAATTGCAGGGCACGCGTAGACGACCAACCCTCTGCGCTCACAATCACAATTTAGAGCGTTCTCAATGGAACAAACGATGCTAAAAATCCCTTTGCACGTTTTAGGCTTCACCTGGTGCTCTGAGCTCATTGTAGATGATATTCAGCAGGCGTTGGCAGGCGGTGCAGTAAGGATCCGGCCAGGACAGGAATTGGTGGAAAAGCAGGTAAGCTTCCAACAGCACATTACAATCTGGGTGTAGGTAAGGTGTCTGAGGGACAAGAAAATGTGAACGGATGATGATGTTAGACGGTGCGATAGGTCCGGAGAGACCGCTTGAATGGCAATCACTCACTTTTAAAAGTGTTGAGGAAAACAGGAGAGTAAGCGGCACCACCAATTCGTACCGACATTGCACAAGCACCTGCAAAAGACGGAGAGTTAAAAATGTCCTCATCCCTCTGACTGCGCTGACCACGGTGGAAAAGGGTGTTGCCGGGTGAATTTTCACCTCCTTTGTTTTCTTGAGAATTGTCTGCAGAAGGAACGGGAAGTTGTGGGGATCTCTCATGACCAGTTCCTCCAAACACCAGCGGTTCATGCACAGACCGGCTGATCAGACAGACGAAAGCACGCATGCAACTTATTTCTCTTTTTGGGTTTCACTCTGATGACGGGTGGCAAACATGTTCTCTGTTTGTTTTTTGCTTTTCTATTTGTATAGCTTGTTCGCCAGGTTTGAACACCTGCTGAGCAAATGAAGTAAGATGATGGCCAGAAAAGACTTCCCTCGAGCTGTTCTATCTTGTCTCTGTATATGGTCTGACGCATAGCAAAGACTCAACAAAGCAGTCGCAATCATCATTCACAAGTAAGGGCATTTAAGAGCTCCCAAGAGATCTGTTGAGCCCCACTCACCACAAGCGTGAGAGAAAATAGATGCATGAACATATGAATCATATTCTGGAGAAATGGAGTGACTGACATGAAATCGCGCAAGACCGAATCTGAATATGCCACTGCTGGTTGCAGCCAAAAACTCTGGAGCAAAACTCAAGTGGTGTTGAGATGCTGTTTGTGCATCGCTGTGACCCCAAAGGAAAGGTAATAAATTGCAAGTTTTCTGCTCACCAATATGAATTCACGCCGCTTTCATAACTGTATCTCGTTTTTCTTTGAGCCAATCCATGTTTTGCTGTTGGTCCCTACCGTTCCAAAGTTGCTTGTCAGGAGTGTTGAATTCAAGGTCACAGAGGCAGCGTTCAAGGACATGCTGCAGACGATCCTCCGTGCACGAGTTTTGTTCCATCGTCTCCAGTTGCGTTCACAGCAGCCACAGATAAGAAAAAAAGGGGAAATAAAAGGAAGCAGTCTATTATTGTATAAACAAAACCTTCAAAATGATCTTATTATATTTAAGAGTTTCCATTAGCTACTATTTTTTTTGGAGCCGGTTATTGATCCCTCAGTATAAAAGATACGCTTGAGAGAAACAGATGCAGAACAACAAATGTCCAGTCTACACAATGCCGCCTCCCACTTCCTACTCACACCATTCGCTTACAGTCTGCCCAAGCTCAGAAGACTGGCCACAACTTCTTCATTTCCATTCAGAAATTTAGCAGCCGACGACCAACGTCATCTGAAAATTGCCACGGAAATGACTCTGCAAGTACGACTTCCTACTTGATACCTATTTTTCCGATAACAACATATCCACCGAGTGGTGATAGAAATGATTATTCAAATAAGAATGAAACCAATCAAATCTAATGCGACCAATTTTCTATTGGCCTCTCCGGAATGAGTTTGTTCCAGACTGATATTGCCCATTATTTCCGTACAACGCCACATCTATAATGAGAATACGACTGGAAATGGAATTGCTCTGAGACTCCTCAGGAAGTGTGACCTTTGGGACGTGGCCGCTCATATGGATGTTTCGATATTGTTTCACAGTGCCAGGGAAGCGCGACGAAATAATTCGCGATTATCAGACCAATGATTATATCGAAAAAATGTACATCGATGTGACAGAACATTTTTGGGATATTATTTAAATGAATAGTTTAAAAAAAATGAATTAATTGTTGTCCTGAAAGGGCTCAACACGCACACTGGATGTAGTAGATGATTTTAACCACAAGATGACGCTGTCGCCCACCAGTGATTGCTCGATTGTTGACCCCTCTCCCCTGGAGGAGTGAGAGGACCCCCCTTTTTTTTCTGCATCCCACCACAGATGGAATGGGACAGACGGAGCCGAGGGTGGCCAGAGGTGTGACTGACTGTGGACACACACAGACAGAGCGACTCACAGCCAGCCGGCCTTTCACATCATCTCATTTCTTCAGAGAGGAAAACACACGATCACAAGTTTTTGTGTGCGCGTGTGTGTGCGTAGCTGAAAAGGTTATGATTGATATTTTTAGGAGTTTTGCAGCACGCTAACCGGCTGAGTAGGTTTGATTTTTGTTAGGGCTCTTTTCCCGGTAAGAATATCTCCTACTCGTACTCGCGAATGTACTCGATTGTCATCTTTTCAAGTGCGCTGATGTTCTTTTCTCCTGCCAGGCGAAGTCCCCGCGACGCACGGACTAAAATGCGAAGGATTTTGGAGCTTTGGCTCACCTTAGTGACATTCTGCGCCCTGGGCGAGAGAGTTTTGGGGGGCTACGGACTGAGCATGTTTGCCGCCCAGTCCTCCCCCCCGGACCCGTGCTACGACGAGAACGGGAATCCCCGAAGGTGCATCCCCGACTTTGTCAACTCAGCCTTCGGCAAGGACGTGCGAGTGTCGAGCACGTGCGGCTCCCCCGCGGCCAGATACTGCGTGGTGTCCGAGAAGGGGGACGATAGGTCGCGAGACTGCCACACCTGCGACGCGGGGGACCCCAAGAAGTATCACCCGTCCGCTTACTTGACGGACCTGAACAACCCGCACAACCTCACTTGCTGGCAGTCGGAGAACTACGCGCAATATCCCCAGAACGTCACCCTCACCTTGTCCCTGGGCAAGAAGTTCGAAGTCACTTACGTGAGCCTGCAGTTTTGCTCCCCCAGGCCAGAATCCATGGCCATCTACAAGTCCATGGACTACGGCAAGTCCTGGGTGCCGTTCCAGTACTACTCGACCCAGTGCAAGAAGATGTACAACCGGCAGAACAAGGCGGTGATCACCAAGCAGAACGAGCAGGAGGCCATCTGCACCGACTCGCACACGGACATGCACCCCCTGACCGGGGGTCTCATCGCCTTCAGCACCCTGGACGGGAGACCCTCGGCGCACGACTTCGACAACTCGCCCGTGCTCCAGGACTGGGTGACGGCCACCGACATTAAGGTGATCTTCAGCCGGCTGCACACCTTCGGGGACGAGAACGAGGACGACTCGGAGTTGGCCCGAGACTCGTACTACTACGCCGTGTCGGACCTGCAGGTGGGCGGACGGTGCAAGTGCAACGGCCACGCGTCCAAATGCGTCAAGGACAGAGAAGGTCAGCTGGTGTGCGAGTGCAAGCACAACACGGCGGGACCCGAGTGCGACAGGTGCAAACCTTTCCACTATGACCGACCCTGGCAGCGCGCCACGGCGAGGGAGGCCAACGAGTGTGTCGGTAGGCCAAAATCCTCGTTTATTATTTGCTTTCTCCTGTCATTACTTGAATCGGCTACTATGGGATAACACCAATTGTCTAATTATGGTCAAACTCACCCTTTACGCGCGGGAATTGCGCATTGACGGATGGAATCAAAGGTCGAGTTTTCCCAAAAGGAAAACCAAACCCGTTTTTGATATGCACACGTTTCGAATTAATTTTACGTTAGTTTCACAAAAACCACTATCCAGCCTGTTTTTCATTAGAGTACTGTAATGTGTGTGTGTGTGTGTGTGTATGTGTGTGTGTGTGTGTATATATATATATAT